TGTGGTGATACAAACCCGCTTCAAAACCCCTCTGCTTCATTTCAATTAAAAATGTTGGTTTTTTTTGTATTCTTGGCAGGATACTGCACCATAAGCTGTCCTTAGCTGAACTCTGCGTTACGGAGCAGCGGATCTGTGTTGATCAGCGGAGGGAGGCCTTCCCATCGTGGCTCTGTTTCCAGAAGCAGCGCTGGCTTGCTGAATGCTGCACGTTGTGTGTGGATACGGGGCCAAGGTCTGCTGGGGTAGGTAAGAGGCGCTGTGTGACTCCGTGGCTTAGGTCACCCTATCTGTGAACAGAAGGTTACTGGTTCAAATCCCAGAATGATGTCACCATTGGGCCCTTGAGCAAGGCTTTTAAACCCCAATTGCTCCCAGGGACTGGCTGATGAAAGTGTCTACTAAATAAATTTAATGTAAAAAATGTTAAATCCCCCCAGTGTGGAGATAAGATGAACTTTATCGACCCTAAAGAGAAGCGCATACAGCAGTGAGGAACATAAAGTGCAGATATACAGTGCAAAGCAGAGCATTGCACCTAGAAAGCGATTACCAACATAGGCCTCGAACCCACAACACAGAGATTAAGAGCTGCATGCTCTACAAACTGCGCTAGTCAGTCCAAGATCCATGGATTTAAAGAGCAGAGATCAGATGGAATCAGGAAGGCGGATGATCTGGCCACTTACACGCCACGTCCAATATTCAGCGCGGCGTCTTTCAGATCAGCAAGGCTAAACATTCTAACGTTATCCGGGTTCCATTTGGCGTATGTACTGACCGAAACGTTTTCTGCTCTTATCACATTTTTTCTGGTCTTATCACATTTATCTGATTATACTGTTACAGAAGCCCTTAGTCCAGGTAAATATGGAGAAAGATAATTTACGGCAAGTGTGGGCTTGGAGCATGTGACTCCTTTTTCCGGATTCAGAGCAGAACTCGGATTGATCCTCAATGGGATTAGTGTGATGCATCACTGCACTTTATAAATAGATCGCTGTCACCAGCCAGCAGAAACATGTGACCTACATCGGATATGGAGCCATGCCCCCCTTCCCGGGGGCAATCGAGTCATAACAAGGGGCAAAGCAGAGGAGGAGGACCTTCTGAGCGGGAGGTTAATGCGACGCCTTTTTTTCATGCGGGTCTCTGGGGTGACGAGTAGGATGCGCAGTCGGGGCCATGCAGTGTGTCTGCAGTGCAGTGTGGCTGCAGTGCAGTGAAAAGGACGTGAACATGGTTCTTGTGGTCCTCAGAGCTGGGCTTAATGGTGACGCCTGCGGCTGGAACAGACCCGCTAAAAAAAGGCAACTCCAGGGGGCGCTAATGCTACTGGGTTGAGGTTAGGGTTGGGGTTAATGTTTGGCACAGCACTGGCAATTGAACACAGAGGCCTCTGACTGACCACAGGGCCCTCGATCGCTGGTGAGCTACGCACAGATCACCTCTGTCACTGAGCTTTCTCTGTCACAAAGCGACCCTAAACTCCGCATTAAAGGTGGTGCTTTCAGTGCTTGTGGAAAATGTTGTTTGATCTGCCGCTTGCTCTCCTCGAATGAATAGTTTTGAAAGCAGACAAGCAGAAAGAAGCCATATTGCCTTATTTCATTGTCTGTTTGGTGTATAGAATAAACAAACTGCATCATTTTAGCTGAATACGAACAAATGGCAAAATGGCTTCATAAAGTGAGAACAAAATGTGTGTGAAGCACAGGAAGCTCCTTTATAATTAACTTCTAAGGGTATAGAGAACGTTTGCAGTGTTTTAGGAAGGATGAGAGATTGGGAGAAGCGGCCCAGCCCACGTGACTGTACGATTGGCTTGTTTTGGTGCGTTCGTTTTTCGGAAATTCCGAGTTGAGTGACATCACGTCCGACAATCTCCCGTTCGAGCTACCCACATCTCGGAACAAACATGGCTGCCTCCATGAACACGCTGCTGTGTTTTGTTGCTTTATGTTTTAGCAGATTTGAAGTGAGATTATTTTTTCCGAGAGACAAACAAACAAGAAACACAAACTAGTCAAACTGCATTAAAATAAAATATTTTAGTACATTCATAGCGATATTCTTTTAACCGAGAGGCAAACAAACTACAAACAAATCAAAGACACTAACAAGTCTGGTAAAAATCTGATATTGCATGCTAGGATACTGTTATGATATGATATTCTCTAAATCGAACACGTGCAATTACATTTATAACAATACATTCAACAAAATAAACATTTTTTAAAGATTTATTAAATAGAATTACTGTTGAGTGTGTAAGCCGCCATGTTGAAATTACGTCACAGGGGAAACTCAGACAACAAAATCTTGTCCGACTTCAACGTCATAAAAGAGGCGTGTTTCTGACGGGAAGTGACGTTTTTCGTGACGTTTTCATCCAAGTTCCGACTTGGAGAGAAATAATCGAATAATCGAACGCACCATTTGAGTAAGAGGGCAACACAGTTCTGTATGTTGATTGGTTAGTAAGAGTGAGGTAAGGAGCACATGCTGATTACAGTGCATTGCCACATCCACCACACAACAAACCACCTCACGGTGGAGACCGGAGTGCAGCGGGTGATACCTCAGCGCCATGCTAGTCTGAATGGTCCTGCCACCAACCCCCAAATTTCCTTGTGAGTTGGAGGACCTCCTTACAGGACTGGATGTAGATTAATATCTTACCCAGCCAATCGCAGGTTAAGGGCCTTGCTCAAAGGCCCAACAGAGAAGAATCACTCCTGCCATTCACATGATTTGTACCAGCAATCTTCCAGTTGCTGGCACAGATCCCTACCCTCACAGCCACCACTGCACCCAGTTAGTGCGGCTGCCAATAAAATTGCGTTGTACATCCAATCCCCATATCATGTGGGTCTGTTCACTGTAGGGAATCTCACAACTGTCTTATTATTCAAAATTTAATATTTAACTGGAGAACACTGCATTTTTGTGATGCTTTCCAGGAAAAATCATTTGGGTTCTCATGAGCCTTACGGGCTGGTCTGTTTGAGTATGTGCATTTATGATTACACAGGGTTACAAAAAAAATTTTTTGTGAG